TGTAATGTTTTGTTTTTTAAAATGAAATGAATAAATACTATAAACTAAAAAAAGATCTGTAACAGGGTCACAGATGGTTTTCTTGAAAAGGAACGGAGGGTAGAATTTATAATCCGACACATTTTATGATGTAGGCTGAAACTGAGCTTCCTCTTCTTGAAAGACCAGCATCCTCCACTGGTGCAGAGGGTCTGGACTCTCGGCATTAGAGAAGTGATTCTTGCAGGAGGCGTGGCCTCTGCTGAAGTTTAAAATGATTGGATCTGTTGGCCGCGACGTATGTCGCTGTGAAGGAGGCTAAGCTAAGAAGCTAACTGGAAATCGCGTGTGCTGTAAACAACCCTACTGAGAGGAGAGAAGTACTGAGCCGAACGAGACGACTGTAAATGAGAGCTGCTGCTTTGTCAGACAAATTTAATTTAATTATGAAGTCTTATCAACACAGACTGACTTCATTCACTTCCTCCACGGCCGTATGCTAAAATAACTAGCAGACACTGCGCAGAACATCGATGTTCTGTTCTCTGATTGACCCAAACGAAAATTCTCCTGAAGAAATCCTTGTCAGTGGGAGAAGTCCCAGACGGAGCAGAGAAGGGAAACTAGAATTGAGCGGAGCTGCGTAGGAAGGCAAGGGCCAGGCTAACCAGTTTTTAAAGCAACTAGACAAAAGCCTGGAACAAGGTTTGGAGGAGAATGCCTGTTTTAAAAGACTTGTGATGTCTGACTTCACAGCATCGCAAGGGCCACGCCTTTCACCATAAAGTGTTTGTGCTTGAAAGCAAGTCATATCAACTTATTATTTGTGTTCTGACACAGTTTGGAGAGCATTTCTAAGTCCCCCGCCTTGGCGACGCCGTACAATAAAGATGGGATGTTGTTTAGAGCATAAATAAAAACAGAATACAACAGTTTGCAAATCCTTTTCAACCTATATTCAATTGAACACACTACAAAGATGAGATATCTGTTCAAACTGATCAACTTCATTGTTTTTTTATATATATTCGCTCGTTTTTAATTTGATGTCTGCAACAGCTTCTAATAAATCTGTACAGGGTCATGTTTCCCTCTGTGTTCCATCATCTTTCCTTTTAACAACACTCAGTAAGTGTTTGTGAACTGAGGACACTGATTGTTGAAGCTCTGTAGCTGAATTCTTTCTATTCTTACTTCATGAACAACTTCAGTTGCTCAACAGTCCAGGGTCTCTTCATAAAGCTCCACATATTTTCAACAGGAGAAAGGTCTGGACTGCAGGAGGACCAGTCTAGTTCCTGCACTCTTTTACTATGAAGTTTTCCCATTTTTATTTGACATGTCAACGACCCACTCCTGAGAGGAGGGAGCAGCAGAATATTTACATTCCTTTAAAATTTGTCTTTTGGCAACAACCATTCAATACCAGTCAAATACAGCGGGTAAAATAAGGATTGAACACGTCAACATTTTTCTCAGTAAATATATTA